TATATATATATATACATGTCCCCAAGTAAAACACAATCTTCGTTGAGATCTTTGTTTCTGGATAAACTTTGGCCAAGGAAACATGCCAAATTTGCAAATTCATTTGTCGCTGAAATTTTTGTCTGGCTAAACGAGGCAATTTGCAAATGCTGTTTCGAATGGAATCTTTGCTCGTTTGCAAGGAACATGCTGACTCTGATCTCATCTCCAAATCTGATGCGAGAATGTTTTACCTGGGCAATTATATTCTTTCCATTGTCTTTCGCTCACGAGTTCTCCGCCTGCAAGTCTATGCACCTGTACATCTCCAGGTATATTTCATCCGTCTTGGCAATGCGCGCACTGTCTCCCGTAGAATCCCCCGTATTTGCCGATGGGAGTGTAGGCAGGTTGCCTGGGGATATCAGCCGTGCTATGTTCTCGGGCACCCGGCGTATCTTCTCCTGAGTAATTAACGTTCTTGAGCTCGTTGCACCCTATCTCGTAAGTAGACACGCGCCATCTCCTCTCCTGCCTGCTAGTGAGAGAGGAGAAATGGCGTTTCTCCCTTAGCCTGGTGTAGAGGAAGAAACACTTTAATCAAAGGTGAGAGGGGAGTATCTCGAACGCGTGGTACAGTCTTAGGAGCGAAGCGCCTATTGGCAAACTTACAGAGGGCGAACTTGAAGAACTCGGGGGCGTTTTAGGGGGTTCCACCGCCGGTGCGCTTGCCCTCGGCGGCAGGCACAAGCCGGAAGAGCTCTCCACATTGGCGGCCAACACTAGGTTCTCCAGGAAGGAGATACAGCTTATCTATCGCGGATTTAAGCAGGAATGTCCTACAGGTCTCGTCGACGAGGAAGCTTTCAAACAGATCTTTTCACAGTTTTTCCCTCAGGGAGGTAAGTGACAAAAATCAATTCTCTCGCGAATTCTCATTCGATATATAAGGAAAAAGAAAAAGTTTATTACATCATTTCACGAAAAATAATCGTAATCATCCGTGTAATTTAAAACATAAAAATTACATTATTTCATTTCCTTGATAAGTTTTGAATCTTCCTTTTGAAAGATTATCAAGATTGACACGATACATTCGGTTATTGCTTCGAGATTATTCTTTTTATTATTTTCCGTTATTATTTAATAACATCTTGAAAGAATTGCAAGCTTCAACAAATCTTTCGAATCTTTTAGATGCCAGCCAGTACGCTCATTATGTCTTCAACACCATGAAGAGAAAACCGTCTGGAAAAATAAGCTTCGAAGTAAGAATATTTTAGAGGCAACGCGTGTATCTCATTCGAGTATCATCTGTTTATAGTTTTATAGTTGCGTTTCATCATGTTCAGGAATTCCTGACCATCTTGTCGAAAGTTTCGAGAGGATCGGTGGAGGAAAAACTTCAGTGGATATTTGGACTTTACGACCTCGATGGGGATGGATTGATCAGTAAAGAGGAAATGCTGGACGTGGTTGGTTCAATCTATGAGATGTTGGGTCGTTACACTCAGCCACAAATAGTTGAGCCGCATTTGGCTGCTCGAGAACACGTCGATCGTATTTTCCACGTGAGTAAATGCGATCGATCTTGTATATATCACGTATATACATTTGTAACGATATTCGATGATTTACTCAAACGATTGACTGGTTGAAAATTCTCTTTTTAATTAATAGTATTAACAGCATAGGTGAATAACTTTTTATTCTCAGTTAATGGATGCAAATAAAGACGGCGTGGTGACAATCGAGGAATTAGTACAGTGGTGTTCCAAGGATGAACAACTCTTGCGGAGTCTCGACACTCTTGACACCGTCTTATGAGATCTTTACGGTTATTTTGTAACCCTAACACAATCCCCAAATGTCAGAAATTCCCTGAAAATTGTGACGCAACGTTCGTACGAGTTCTGTGGGTAATTTCTAGGAATTCAATTCTAAATATTTAACGATTCACAGAGGAAATCGAGTCACGGTCGAAAGTACTGATTTGAGCTCGTCGAACGTTGCCTGTAAATATGTATTTACCCTTCCTACCCAGTCTTTCAAGCGTGTTATCGAATGCACGAATGAAACTAACAGTATTATCAGACTTCATATGTACAATTTTTCCTCGCATCGCGCACGTAATCCTTCGGCATTTGACAGGTTATTCGATTATTGTCGCGCGATCGTGTAAACTTGAGAGAAATATTTCAGCTACGGGAAAAAAAATGAAGAAGATGAAGCTTGTTCTGTTTCATTGGCGCGGATTTGATATAATTCAGAGGGAACTATCAGGTTGTAGGTATCGCAGAATTATAACTTAAAATCGACGCGACGGGAACAAATCAATCTCCAGATTCGTTAAAACGGAGACTGAGTTCTATATTCGAACACAATATCTATACTTTAGTAAAGAATGAATTTCAACGATTTTATCACCAAATTATGCTAACAACATTTTTCTCCGCAAAATTCACAAAGCGAGATAATCTAATACATATTTCCTAAACTTCTATATTTCTTCTAAATTTCACTTTTCCTCCATTTCACGAGTTAAGGAGAATTTGATGCTCGTCCTTTTAGGTGAGGTTTTTCGTACGATGCAAGTTTTCGTACGAATGTAGTTTCACTTTTCCCGACCCGTTGAATTATCTCTAATTGCGAGAATAATGTGTAAGTACGTACTTCGATGTCGGCCATCGTTGTGGCGGTCAAGTGCGATTTAAAGATATTTTCAAGGAGCTTCGACTATTGTCCATCGTTCGGGTCGTTTTCGTGTCTTGTTATCTTTGCGGCGAATGACTTAGCCACAAAGGTTTATCCGAAACTTTTACATTCTACAGATAAAAAAATTACAGCGTCTACAGCTTACAGATAATAATAAGCGTTCAAGACAAGGAATTGGAATAGGGAAGAGACAGAGTTTATCCAGAGTTTATTCCGAGTTTCAAGAATTGTTAGATTCAGGCATATGCGAATAACGTTTGACAATCGTTTTAATCTTACCTCTCGTACGTGAACGAATATAAATGTTTTCTTCGATCTCGCCTTATGCTCTTGAATATTCCCAGACACGTAGGAAACATGGCAAGAATTGTAAGGCCCACAAATCGATACCTAAGTTATATGAACTTATAGATAAAACATTCGCATATGTCTACTCTCTTTATAGATTGTAGATTTGACGATACCTCCAGAGACCCATGTACGATGGAAAACGTAGTAACCCGTTAATAGCGTATCGTAGTATCCTCGACCAATTTAAGAGAAACGTGGTCCTCTAAGATCAACGCCTCGTGTGATTCTCTCGTACCTTATTATATTTATTATTACTATCGCATAAAAGAATATTGTTATTAATAATACAATTACTATCAATCTTACTACTTGTCTTCTATCAAATTGAAGCAAGATGATCGCGCATGCACACGTATTGGAGCGCACATTCGAGATATTCTAAATCTTACGCGTACAAATGTCATCGAATTTGTTGAATTTCTCAAGTTTATTAAAAATACATATTATATTATATTATATTAGAGAAAATGTGATCCGAGAATGTTATCATGTGAATATAAAAAAATCGATTCGATCGATTTATACGTTCGATCGTTCTGATATGGTGCGCGATCTATATCAGCGTATCCTATAACGAAATGTTTGTTATATCAGTTTCAATTCAGGAATCGATTTTTTTTTTTTTTTACTGATTAGTAGATCGTGTATCTATAAATTATACACTTATGTTTATACGTGTATGTGTATGGCTGTTTGACTTGAATACCTTCGTTATTTCTTGAATGACGAATACGTTATCAAAGCAATAATGATATGACTTCAAGATTCGACATTCTCTACGAGACTTATATATTTCTGCTCAATCGTAATCGTTTTCCTTTGAAGGTATTGAAGAAAACAGTTTAATAAAATTATATTTCGTTTCTGTTATATGTACATATTAAAAGTATCACAATTGTCTGTTAAAATAAGATCGGTACTAATCATTTTCCTTTTAATTAACGTTATAAATTGTATATGAAATAAACATAATTATAATTACAAAATGCAATACGTGATTAAAAATTTTTTTTGTAACAAACATGAACTTTCATTGTTAATTTTTAATCAAATACTCTTTCTCACATCCTCGCACAGTTTTAATTATTTAATATGATCCTATTATCCTAGAATAACATTGTGTAATGTATGTTACAAAATTTAAATAATTCGATATTATAATTTGTGAATCGAATAAATAATTCGATAAATAATTTTGCTTATGATATCTAATTTTTAACTTTTTTTTCTCTCATTTTTAATAATTTATAAATACATATTAAATTTTTTTCCATTACGTACTTCTGGGTTAGTGGCGCTGCAGTGTTATGACTTGTGTATAGGATATGCAATATTGTCACTCAATATAGTCTGTTTCTTGTATTTAAAGTTAGCTTAGAATAATCGTTATCGATGTTTCAGCTTGATAAATGATAGAGAACGCTTTGAATTACATGTTCTGCGAGAAAAATTTTTTTAGCACTATACAACGCATTATAAAAAGACTTTTAATATAACATCCATCATGCCATATAGTATACTATGTAATAATTATGTATTTTTCATTTGCAATGTTAATATTTGCAGTTATCTCTAGAGGCATATTTCCGAAGTTCTGAGCAATTTGATGCCAAAATTAACACAGGGAGAAAAATGGTGCGAATAAAGTGGTCCTTAACCAAAGCGCCTAATATTCTTAAGTAAGTAATGGAAAACAATAAAGAAAAGATATTATAAGATGTTTGAGAACACACTATAATATATTTTATTGCCTTTAGACTTAATTTAAAACAAAAATGGTGGCGTCTTCAAATCATTATAAAATCTTTATTTTATAATGAATTTCTAAATTGGAGTTACATTTGCGACATACTCCTGGAACCAATGTTTTGGTTTGTAGAAAATTTTACTGCTTGTTTAGGTCCAGTGAGTATTTTTGTAATCTTTACTAGTTTCGTTCATGTTATAATTTGTTGATTCATACCTTTATGTGATTCTTATAAGAGAAATTATTATTGTTCACAATGTATTTACTAAGTTTGACAGTTTACAGGTATTTGTAGTAATGGTAAGCCTTTTAACTGCAAGTATAGTGTACATTGCATATTACATTGGTTTACCATATTGGTGGGAAAAAAGTCCATCGATGACAATAATCCTCTTAGTGATTGGAAACTGGTTATTAGTAAATGTATGTTTTCATTATTATAAGGGTGTAAATGTTCCAGCTGGTTATCCACCAGAAGGTGGTCTGATACCAGAGGCTGTGAGTATCTGTAAGAAATGTATTAAACCAAAACCACCCAGGACACACCATTGTTCTGTATGCAATAGATGTATTCTTAAGATGGATCATCACTGTCGTATCCTTTCAAATATATTGTCTAATATTTTAATATTTTCTTAAAATCCTATATATTTTCTAAATAAAGAAATAGCATGGTTAAACAATTGCGTTGGTCATTATAATCACAGACATTTTTTTCAATACATGGTTTTCACTGTACTTGGTATTTTATTTATAATGCTGTTTGGTGTGGAAATAGCATATCAAGAATTTTTTCCAGCACAAGAACCAGAATTAGATGGTCATCCAGTACGCATTAATAATTCTGAGATAATTCCTGTGGTAATTATTTTATTTGTAGAAAATAAGTTTATAATAATCAAATAGAGGTCATTTTATCATTTATTTATATTACAGTCTGAATCGCTGGATCACCTAAGTGAAGAAGAATTAGCTGAAATAGCTAAACAAGCTGTAGATACAAATATTAAAGAATGGAAACGTCGACTTATAGTCTTTGCAGCGCTAATTTGTGTAGCTACATTTGCAGCATTAGGAGCTCTGACATGGTGGCATGCAGGTCTCATTACTAGAGGAGAGACAAGTATAGAAGCACGTATAAATAGTACAGAAACACAGAAATATAAAGCACTTGGTAAAATATATCAAAATCCCTACAATTTTGGACCAAGACAAAATTGGAAGCTTTTTCTAGGTATAATTGGCAGGTAATTTGGAAGACTAAATATTTATTAACAAATATTTTACAATTATTACATTATGATTTGGTATAACAGAAGTTGGTGGCACATACTTTTTCCATCCAATCACGGACCATATGGAGATGGTCTCACATGGAAGACTATTCACGATACAAAAATATCTTGAGTATAATTCCTGTGCCCAATAATGGCAATAAGTAAAGTTACTGATGGTGAAGTCATTTTTACAGATTTAAAAATCTAGTCAAACTACTACTACAGTTATATACTGCTATGTGCACATATTTCAAACAATATAATATGGTCTGAAAACTATCACTATACAATATCATTATAAAAAGAACATTCACTTTGTACATTAATAAGATTATTTGATATGTACATACATCAATTGATAATACTTTTATCAAACATCATTACATTTATTGTACATTTCTAAGCATTGTCAGTGTCAAATGCATTTTAAACTTTTAATGTTTAAATCAATCGAAATGTAAAAATAAACAATTCTTTATCTTTGTAAAGTAAGAGGTTCATTTATAATACCAAACGAAATTTATGGCCAAACATTATCCTCAATCCAGTTCAGATAGTGCGAAACTCTAGTATATACCCCAGGTGTGTTGGGAATCGCACAACCTGATCCGAAACTGGTAATACCTAATAGTTGAAACAGACATTCATTTTTTGGGTGCGGTATTTGCAAAGGACCTCCTGAATCTCCTTGACAAGTATCTTTTTTCCAACCTCGAGGATCTCCCGCACAGATCATACTTGGCATAATTCCATATGGCACTGTCATTGACTTATTGTATTTTATCGCACAAGCTATATTATCAATAATATGAAGAGAAGCTTTTTGCAGTTGGTCACTTTGTTCCAGTATATCTGCAAGTATTAATAATTCATAGATATCTTCATAGATTTTTTTAAAGAGGTTTATTTCGTTTATTACTTTGGTAATATCAATCTCACCAGATTTAGTAACACCCCATCCAGCGGCCCATGCTTGTGCAGGTACGGTACCATATTGTTGGTATAAACAAGCAGGTCTTATTTCATTGTTAAAAATAACAGCTGTATTTAATTTTACGAGAGCTATGTCGGCATACATAGCAGGAGGTTTGTAACTTGGATGCCGCATTGTCTTATTAATTGTAGTTGTGACACCTTGTGCATTATCTTTCAAATTATACACACCAATACGTATGTGTGTAGGACTTCTGTTTTGTAAAAAATAATAGTAATTAATAGTAAGATAGTAATAGTTTCTACAGTAATAATAAATAAAATGAAACAATACTCTGGTCCATGAGTACAGTGAGCAGCAGTAAGTACCCATTCTGAAGCAATAAGAGTGCCACCACATAAAGAAGTAAATGACCCATCTGTCGTTTTTACACCCAGAGCAACTATGTGAGGAAAGTCTCCAGGAGAAGCATTAATACCTCCAATAACAAGACGATTTACTGTCTCACATTTTTGACTATTTATTGTAATTATTTTTGGATTTCCACCCACCAAAGGCAATACCTTTATTGTACCCAAGATTTGTCTTTCATACTCTTCACATTCTAATAGAATAAAATTAATAAAATATAAGAATAAATATAATAATAAAAGAAATTGTCATTTATAAATACTTACTAAGTTCTGACTTTGTTTTGTATGTGTCTATATATGAATTTATTTCACTTGGAAGCATTGATATCTTGTCATTTTCTGCATCTTTGTTAATATGTAGACCATGTGTCTGAACTTCCTTGGAAATATCATACTTAAAATTATCATACTTAAAATTATTTTGTAAAAAAGGATTGTGAATAAAAACAGCTACATTCACAGTAAGACTTTCTAATGCTTTGTGTGGTTTGTTACTTACATTTACATTAACAGCATGATTCTCTAATACTTTATGTGGTTTGTTATTTACAGCTACATTAACAATATGATCTTTTGATGTTTTAGGTGATTTGTTATTTACAAGTGCTTCATTCAGTATAATATCATTTCCATTAAATGAAAAAAAAAAATTTGCAAAATTTGACAAGAAAGAATTCCTTTCATATTTTATATCTTCTTTTAGATTCTGATGAAATAGATTATTAACACTTAAGCTTGGCAGGTTAGGCTTTTTCTTTTTTGAATTTCCTAGAA